AATTCATGAGACACTTCCTCTGATGAGCTGTTCCTGTGGATTCGGCCATCGCTTTTCATGCTGTGAAAAGTCTTCTTAAAGGCCTCCATCATGGCATGGGCCAGCTTCTTGGCCTCCAGCTTGCTCTCACACTCTACAGCATGGCAGTCCATCTGGTAGGACAAGTCATCATTGATCTCCCGATAGACCCAAGCAAAGATGTTTGGGCTCACGTTGTGATCAGCAGTGCAGTAGGCTATACGTGCTACCTGAAAGGTATCCATGTGGACTGTGGCCTCACCTTTGAGGTCCAGATGATGCAGCCAGACTTGGAAAGGGCGAATTTCCAGAAGGGCATTCGCTGGGTAAACATCCTCCCTGGCGAGTGTGTGCTTCTTCCATAATTCAATAACTGGTTTCTCTGTGCAGCCTGACAAAAATTGCATCCCTGTAGTGGAAACCTTACCCAAATATGTAACCTGCAAAGAAGAGCAAAGATAGGTGAAAACACAGATGGCAGACGCTGGTGTTACTTTCAGCCATCCCAGGGAACTTTCTTTCATCTGGAAAATAAAATAAAAGTATACACCCCCCCAACCCACAAACTCCCCAATTTCCCCATCACTTTCAGTAAAACAGTTTTCAAACTGCTTTCCAAATATTTGCTTTTCAGATGCTGACTTCACCATTCAAACACAGAAGTTAAAAATACTCAGTGTCTGAGTTTCAAGGGATTTCACTTCCTTCAGCTGCCCTGGAAGGCCCAGCTGTAGAGCCCATGTCTACCCCTAAGCTCATGTTAGCAACTGGCAGTGCTGGTGGAGCAGACCCCAGGCAGCTGTGATGCAAACCACAGGGGTTTTTTCCTTCCTACTTTATACAGATGATTTATTTGTATCCTGTTTCAAACATCACTATTAGGGAGATGGAGATTTTCTCAGTTTCATAATGAAAGGCTGCAGGTCATGAGCACAGCAGAGGATTTGAAACAGTTTGAATGTTTTTTTTTCCCAAATGGTCCTGTTTTTCCACCACTTTGGCTGTTCCTACTTAAGTAGGAAGCCTGAAATAGCTCAAAGCTGTTCAAAACTCTATATTTGAGCAGGGCTGAGACATTTATTACACCAATTTAAGAAAACACGCTAATAAAAAAATCTAGAAATAAATCTACCTTAGTTTGATCACATCATCTCTCTGCTTTTCTGCCTAGCTCTTTTGAGTAAATATCCTGTTCTCCCATCTGCACAGGAAAGCAAGGTGTTTTTAGTGCCCTTACTGCATTTGGTTGACCAAATATCAAATTCACTGAGAAGTCCACACCAAAATCTTGTATTAAGCCTGTGCAGAAACATTCCCTTAAATCTGTGCAGCTGCTAATGAGGCTTCATTCCACTTACAGCTGAATGGAAGATTATGGTATCTGGGAAAAGGGATTTTCTCTAAAAAAGACAGGTCAATGCCACATAAATGCAATTATGCAGATTATTCTATTTGTTGCTGTTGTCAGAATGGGGCATTTAAGAACAGCTACATGAAAGCAAAATTGTTTCTTATTTGTCTCTTGCAGCAGTAACTGCTTGAGACAGAATCTTGTGCCTCTTGTTTGATGTGTTGAAACCTCCTGTACGTTTTACTCAAGGCATTTGGAGGAAAAAGATAATCACATGCACTTTCCAAACTATTTTCTTCAAAATTGCATTAAACACACAATATCAGTTATTTTCATGCTGCAAATGTGTTAAGAAATGCAAATAAAAAATATGGACTTTCCACAGTTAAGCACAATAAGAAAATCATAATCACAAGAAATACAGGATTTGTAATCCATGCAAACAAAATTTTCCACAAGAAAAATATTTTGCTGCTAGGTTTTGTTAAACTTGGAGGCCTAAATTAAGCCATAATTAAGGAAAAAGCTTACAAAACTTTATTGGAAATCTGTGTGGCTTAATCATGTCTGCCAAAAAAGCAATTTCATAGCATTGACATTTCAGAATGGGAAGTCTTATTTTTTGCCTATAAATATTCATCCTCTGTACTGGGAATATGTTGAATCTTACAAAGCTTTATTTTTTTTTTTGTTTGGAACAGTGGGAAACACAACAGCTAAAACAGTTAACAAGGCAAGACCTGCCAGTGCTTTGCCTTATTTTATTTTGTTAGTCATGAGAGTTGAGTTCCCTGAAGTACTGTAGAATAACTTAAAAGAAAAGCTCAGAGCTCACAGTGTCAGCTGAACACACAAACAGCACATACAGGACCAAAGAGGAATGTGTCTGCAATGTGCTGGGGGTATTTCAACATATACTCCCTGTCATATTGGTTTGAACATATCAAGATCATTGTGCAAATTTGGAGATTCAATATATTCTCCAAAGGTTTGCTCAGCACTGTTCCATATTCAGAAGCCAGCTAATACACACACACTGTAAACTGACATTTGGGGTTAAATTCAAAGCCCACTGCAGCATCAACAGTCCTTCCCTGACTTCAAAGAGATTTGCACAAAGGCTTAAACCCCTGAGGAACAGAGAAATAGCCTCTTGTTCATGCTCTTTGCCACTGCCCAAATCCCTGGGCTCAGGAGAGAGCTGCCACCACTGCAAGGTGTTTGTGCCCAGCCACTGTTTGGAGAAGACCAGTGTCACCTGGAGCCTGCAGAACTCAGCACCTCTCCTGAGTGCACAACAGTAGACACAGAGAATTGTTTCATTACCAGCTTGTCCTAAGGAGGAAGCTGCTGGAAGCATGTGAGCTGCCCTGAGCTGCAGTACGAGGACTGGGAGAGGAAAGCAAAGCAAAGGCAGTTCCATCCCATGTAGGCAGCATATCACAGGCCTTGCCAGGCAGTTAGCACACTGAGCTTAGTGCTGGAAATTCACCCCCAGCATGCAGCATCAGCTTCTGAGCATGGGCAACTCCCAAACGATGCTCGTGACACCTCCAGCAGCTGAGGAGCAAGATCAGAGCAAGTTGTCTCACAGCAGTGTAAACTGATTTTAATGCTCTTCTCTGTTCCCAGCTGCTAACTGCAACCCCCTGTTGACCATCAATCTGTGTGCAGCCTGCTTAAGGGGGAAGTTAGATAAAAATAATGCAT